AAAATAATATGCTTTATTCAAAAAAATGTAGATTTTAATTCAAAGAAGAGAAAAAGGCTTTTTGCAGAGTGAAATTAACTCGAAAAAGTGTTATCTACTGTGATAAAATGAAAACCAAGTGAGATATAATTTAACTCCATATATTTATTCCACATGAGAAGTTAACAACAAATTACTACAATTTTACATTAAAAGATACACCCTTTAATGTAAAATTATAGTAACTTTTTTAAAAGTGTACATTTGGAGTTGATTTTTAACTCCAAAAGTACTCCCTGATAGCATTTAACTCTCTGGAGGTAATTACAATGATAGATTTTTACTCCTAACTTTACTATTATTTAACACCTCGAAAATTTTTTACATTGACAAAAAAGGGAGTTAAATTTTAACACCCTTTTAGTGATCATTGCAAAAAAGCAAAGTAAGATTTTAACTCCTAACGGGATTCTCTAAAAGTAGCAAGCTTTTCGAGTTGAAACAAAGGGAGTTAATTTTATGAATAGAGAATTAATGATAAAATTATCTAATGTTAACTCGATTTTGGAGTTGATTTTTAACTCCAAAAATGTTACTCCCAACTTCAGTTGGCATTAACTCCCCAAATATTTTACAGTTTTTAAATAAATCGTGGGAAATGGGCAAACAATTTTAATAGTAAACATACACTTTTTGGGAGTGATTTTTGACTGAAATTTAAAATAAAAGTGTTTATAAATTTTTATTTAATTGTCACGGATATAATAATTATTTATAAGTAATTTGGATCAACAGATCTGTAGTCTTGTGGATTCACAGAGAGGATAGGGAAGTGCCCATCTCAAGTGGTAGCAGTCAAGCTAATGGCTCGGCGACGCTATTTTGTTAAACAAGGAAACCTTTTATCCGCCACACCATCCTCTCTAGGAATCTTCACCTTCAGGGACGCTCTAAGTGTTTTTTAAAGAAAAATACAAAAAATTCTATTTTTCAAATTTTCTATTTCTTATTGGAGTTAAATAGGAGAAAAAATTATTTTATTAAAATAACTCACTCCAATAGAGAAATTTTACTCCTTGGTTATAAGATTTTAAGTTACATTCATAAATAAATATAAAAATGTCGATCAATTTGAGTCATGAGATTACTTTCACTCCAATGGGGATTTCTTTTTAACTCCTACTGTATCTTTTTCACTCCAATAGAGTTATAAGAATTTAAGTTACATTCGTAAATAAATATAAAAATATCGATCAATTTGAGTAATGAGATTACTTTCACTCCAATAGAGATTTCTTTTTAACTCCTACTGTATCTTTTTCACTCCAATAGAGTAAATCCCACTTCTTGGTAATACATTTTTAAAAAGTATAAGTTACACTCTTAAATAAATATAAAATATCCCTCAATTTCAGTAATGAGATTACTTTAACTCCAATCGGGATTAAATTTAACTCCTATTATGTAATTTTTACTCTAATGGAGTAAATTTCACTCAGTCGTTAAAATTTGTTTTTTTAAATGTTATTTACACTCCTAAATAAATGTCAAAATATCGCTCAATTTCAGTAATGAGATTAATTTAACTCCAATCGGGATTGAATTTAACTCCTATATTGTATTATTTTCACTCCAATAGAGTAAATTTCACTCTGTGGTTATAAATTTTGCTATTTTCACTCGTAAATAAATGTAAAAAATATTTTTGAAATTTTTTTTTCCTGCAAAAATGTTGTTCGCACATTTTTGAAAGTGTAAAAAAATGTGAAATACATTATAGAGCGGCCCTGTATCAGCACTCGATTTTCTTGACAACAAGAGCGACTTGAAGTGCGAACCACTGTGCGACCGCTGTGACAAGATGCCAACTGTCGATTCTCACGATTCGACTATACGCATTTATCTACTTTTTTTTTTTTCTTTAACCGTCGCCTTATATTCGATCTTCAAGATTCCTCTGTCGAGCTTTCTTATAATAAAATACTTCCTTTCCTGATGGAAAAAAAGTATAATCGATTTTTTTAATTTAAATTTTATTATTTTCTCCAATTTCTCATCAATTTTTTTAAATAATAATTTTTAAAAATAAATTACATCTAGAAAAAAGATTTCTTTGATTCAAAGAAATCAATTTCTTTGACAAAGTTTTTCTTTGATACAAAGAAAATTTATTAGTTTCAAATAAATTATCTTTGATTCAAAATAAATTATCCTTGTTTCAAAAGAATTTTTTTTTATTTAATTTAAATAAATGTTTCTTTGACCCTATATATCAATGTTAGAATTTCTTTGATTTAAAGGACAAATTTCTTTGATTCAAAGAAAATTTATTTGAATCAATGAAATTTTCTTTGAAACTAAGAACCTTTTTTTGTTTCAAAGAAAATTTTATTTTGAATGAAAGAAAACAGGTCAAAGAAATTGATTTCTTTAAATCAAAGAAATCTTTTCTCTAGGTGTAAGAGTATCACTATTTTTTTTCGATTTAACGGTTTTTGGAACCAAAATGACTGAACTCTTTTTGGAGATTTTAAAAATTCCTTAAATTAGAACTTTAAGAATAAAAAAAAAATGGTTCCGGCCGGGATCGAACTGGCGACCTTCTGCGTGTAAAGCAGACGTGATAACCGCTACACCACGGAACCACCTTGTGATATTTTCTCCTAAAATAGGAACAGAATTTTATGATAACATATTCTATGAATTATATAAATTTCAAAAAAAAAATTTTTTGTTTAATCTATTATTAATTACAGTTAATTAAATAACGCGCGAACTTCAATGAAATGGAGTTAAATTAAGAAAAAGTGAACTTTAGAATAATATTAACAGTAAACTGATTACTTATTAACTGTTGGTAATACAGAATTTTACTTTGAATTTTTTTTTAAATTTATTTACGGATAAATCAATTTGTTTTACATTATTTGATTATGTTAACAATTATTAACAATTTTATTAATTATAAATTTATTAATAATTTTATTAACAATAACAATTATTATACCATTAATTTTTTTAATAGAAATATTGTGGAATTTAAGAGGGAATTTAAATTTAATGATAACTTACCATTGAAGCAGTTTGTAGAATTCCTTCCTTATCTACAGATGATAGGAAGAGTTTCCTGAGAACTGCTGCCCTCTATTGAACACCCTTAATATTAGATTAAGAATAATTTAACAATAATTATTAATTAGTAATGATTAACTAAGAATAAATTTAATACTAAATATTTCAAAAATATTGATCCGAAAACTTATTTTTAAACAAAAAATAATTACATATGATAATTAAATAGAATCATTAAATATAATACATAAATATAATAAATAACTGTAATAAATAAATATAATAAATAAATATAATAAATAAATATAATAAATAATTATAATAAACAATTATAATAAATAATAATAATAAAAATAAAGTAATATAATAAATAAATAGAATAAATAAATAATCATGGAACCATAAATCAATAATTTAGTAAAATTAAAGAAAATAGTAAATTACATGAAAAAAAATATTTATCTGGAACAGCGAAAGATTTTACTAAAAATAGCAAATGTTTTAATTGTTTTAGACAATTTTTTAACTATTCTAATGAAACCTTTCGTTATGTTTCAAATGAAACTTTTAATTAAATTAATTAATTAATTAAATTCTGTTGTTGAGAGTTGGAATTTAGAAGAAATAACATATATATTGCTAATAATTAAATGAATAAATATTTTATTTATAAATTTTTTATTTTTATTTTCTCACATAAATATAGGAAATAATTATTAATAACAGATTAACAAATTTAAAATTTTGAAATGAAAAAAAAAATATTAATAAAATATAAAAAAAAAAAATAATGTTTAATATATCAATAAAAAAGATATATATTTAATAAATAGAAAAATATAGGGAAACTAAGATAGGTGTAAAATTTTATTTTGCACTTAAATCGCACTTTAAAAGCAATTTACGTAACCATATGCATAATCAGTGGCAGATGTGATTATTTTGTAGACAGTAAATGCATTGAGTACATTTAACGAAGAATCATGAGTATATAAATTATTACCAAGTATATATATATATATATTTACTTCCTTATTCGCTATCTTTTTCACATGCAATGGAAGTCATGCGTGAAGAGTTAAATAATTACAGAAAAATTTTCTATTACAGATAAAAACAATTTTCTTATATATTTTTTTTTATTTCTTCATTTTCTTATCCTTATATTTTTATTCTTTTCTCTTTCTTATTCTTTGTCCATTTTCCTCGTGTTTTTTATATTATTTTATTTTATTTATTTTATTATTTATTATTATTTATTTATTTATTCATTTGTTTATTATTTATTATTATTAATTATTTATTTATTTTTCATTTATTTATTTATTTCATCATTTTTTTATTTTAATTACAATAATTCTGAATTTTTCCATTGTAAAATAATTAATTTCATTTTCTTTTGTTTCCTCCATTTTATTAATAAGAAGTTTATAGCAAACACAAAAGTGTAAAATAAGATTTAGTTAAGGGCAAATTGTGGTATAAAAAGAATAAAACGTTTTCAGCATTGAAACCGCAGGTGATAAATTGTTTTGTATTTTTTTTTTACTTGTTACATTACATTCCCACAATCGTAAAATTGTGGTCGATATTTTTTTTTCCAACATACTATATATGAATTTGCATAAATTAAAAAAATTCCGATTTTAACCTACATATTATTTACTGTCATATATTTTATTTATTTATTGTATTTTACAATAAAATTTTTATATTTCAAAATTAATTTGAAATTTTCACTGTTGAAAAATTTGTCCAAAGTTAAATTGATTACATATATATAGGAATATATAATTATATTGTAAAATAAATGCAAATTTACGAGAGAAAAAAAATGAGTAATGAGATTTTTTTTTTAAACTCTTTTCGTGATAATCAACAGTTGCTTTAATACTTTTAACATTTATCAAAGTAGTAAAGTTACCATAGTAACCAGAATATGTTTGGCCTTCTACGATAGGCTTTTCCATTTAAGGCACAAAGGATTTTTATTTCCTAACCGTATTTTATAAAAAAAAAATATTTGAAAATTGGCAAAAAAAAAAAAATTGTAATTTTTAGTAAAAATTTTTACAAGAAAACAAAAAAGAGAAAATGAGTGAAATCATTAAAAATCTATGTTCTCATGACGAGGCACAAAATTACGAGTTACACGAGAAAACATGGCCACCTGGTCCTTGTACAAGTGACATTTATCGAACTTCCGGTCTACCTTTGAGATTCCTCTATCCAAGTATGTAGTTAAAAAATGAGTTTCAGTCATTATAAATTTTTTGGAATTAATTTCAAAATTTTATTTATTTTTTGAAAGAAAAAAAAAATTTTGTTTTTGAATTCTTATTTTGATTTCGCATTTTTCCTAATTTTTTTCCCTTTCTGTAAAATTATTACTTTCTGTTAAATTTTCCCTTTCTGTTAAATTTTCTCTTTCTATAAAAATAAGGGAAAAATTTTACATCTTCTGTAAAATTAGGTACCACTTTCTGTAAAATTTGCCCTTTTTGTAAAATTTACATTTTCTGTAAAAGTAGGCACAACTTTCTGTAAAAATTTCATTTTCTATAAAAATTTCCCTTTCTATAAAATTTTCCTTTTACATTTTTTTACATTTTCTGTAAAATTAGGTACCACTTTCTGTAAAATTTCCCCTTTTTGTAAAATTTACATTTTCTGTAAAATTTACATTTTCTGCAAAATTTACATTTTCTGTAAAATTAGGTACCACTTTCTGTAAAAATTTCCTTTCCTATAAAAATTTCCCTTTCTATAAAATTTTCCTTTCTGTAAAATTTTTCTTTTATGTAAAATTTTCCTTTCTGTAAAATTTTCCCTTTCTGTAAAATTTACACTTTCTATAAAAATTTTCCCTTTCTGTAAAATTTTTCTTTTATCTAAAATTTACATTTTCTGTAAAATTAGGTACCACTTTCTGTAAAATTTTCCCTTTTTGTAAAATTTACATTTTCTGTAAAAGTAGGTACCACTTTCTGTAAAAATTTCCTTTTCTATAAAAATTTCCCTTTCTATAAAATTTTCCTTTCTGTAAAAATTTCCTTTTCTATAAAAATTTCCCTTTCTATAAAATTTTCCTTTCTGTAAAATTTTTCTTTTATGTAAAATTTTCCTTTCTGTAAAATTTTCCCTTTCTGTAAACTTTACACTTTCTATAAAAATTTTCCCTTTCTGTAAAATTTTTCTTTTATGTAAAATTTACATTTTCTGTAAAATTAGGTACCACTTTCTGTAAAATTTCCCCTTTTTGTAAAATTTACATTTTCTGTAAAATTTACATTTTCTGCAAAATTTACATTTTCTGTAAAATTAGGTACCACTTTCTGTAAAAATTTCCTTTCCTATAAAAATTTCCCTTTCTATAAAATTTTCCTTTCTGTAAAATTTTTCTTTTATGTAAAATTTTCCTTTCTGTAAAATTTTCCCTTTCTGTAAAATTTACACTTTCTATAAAAATTTTCCCTTTCTGTAAAATTTTTCTTTTATCTAAAATTTACATTTTCTGTAAAATTAGGTACCACTTTCTGTAAAATTTTCCCTTTTTGTAAAATTTACATTTTCTGTAAAAGTAGGTACCACTTTCTGTAAAAATTTCCTTTTCTATTAAAATTTCCCTTTCTATAAAATTTTCCTTTCTGTAAAAATTTCCTTTTCTATAAAAATTTCCCTTTCTATAAAATTTTCCTTTCTGTAAAATTTTTCTTTTATGTAAAATTTTCCTTTCTGTAAAATTTTCCCTTTCTGTAAACTTTACACTTTCTATAAAAATTTTCCCTTTCTGTAAAATTTTTCTTTTATGTAAAATTTACACTTTCTGTAAAATTTACACAAAGTTAAGTAAAAATTCAAAAAGGAAATATAGTAGCCAAGAAAATATTTATTTGTTGCAAATAAATTTTATTTGATTTAAAAAATTTACTTTCTCTAAATAAAGTTTGATTTCATTCAAATAAAAAAAATTATTTGCCGTAAATAAAATTTTCTTTTCATTTTAAATAAAGAATTTATTTGCTCTAAATAAAAATGTATTTAATTATTAAAAAAATATAAAACATTATTAGGCTCTCGAGATAAATATTATTTTAAATACAAAAATTTTATTCACCACAAATAAATTTTTTATTTAAATGAAATAAATCGAAAATAAATTTTTTTATTTAAATGAAATTTTAATTTTAATTCGAATTTAGTTTTTCATTGCCATTATATGTATATATATAAATAAAAACGTGATAAACGTGAGATAAAAATATTCTAAAAATATGTGAACGACGGGAAGAGCATTTGCATACTGTGTTGGGCAGCTAAAAGGCTGAAGTAGATGCAGTGAGGCGTAAACGCGTTTGGTCAGACACGAATAAGCGAGTTAACGATAAATATAAGACTGATGTAGACATACGATGTGAGTGGGCAATTACAATTGGCAAGTTACCACCAATTCTATTTGCTACATTTACGATATAATTGCATAAATGTGGCGCCAGTTTAAATATACATACATAGCTTTACATATACATCCTACAACATTAATTTCACCGTGTGGTATATAATAATAATAATAATAATAACAACATTTGCCATATATGTATTTTCTCAATCACACGAATTTCTGATTTCAAACAATTTACTCATTTCGCAAACATGTCACGCTGATTTAATCCGCTAAATGATGTCGACAAAATCTCTAATTTCATTTAAATTCGTGAACAAAATTTTTACTGTTACATTTTTTTTTTACTATTTTCAAACAACGCTCCATTTTTTTTTTACACAGATTCAATTTTTTTATTTAATTATGAATAAATTATGAATAATTATGAATTCATTATTATTCATTATTATTGATAAATTATGAATTTATTATTAATTATTTTCAATTATTATGAATGAATTGCAAATTTCTTAATTATTAATAATCAATTATTAATAATTATGAATAAATTCTAAATAATTATGAATTCATTAACCATTATTAATTATTTTCAATTATTATTAATAAATTGCAAATTTCTTAATTATTAATAATCAATATTTATTCAATTATGAAAAAATTCTAAATAACTATGAATTCATTAACCATTATTAATTAATTTTCAATTATTATTATTAATAAATTGAAAATTTCCTAATTATTAATAATTAATTTTTTCTTTAATGATGAATAAATTAATTATTAGTTATTAATTATTAATTATAAATTTAATAATTGTTATTACTAATTTATAAATTATAAAAGTAATAATAATAAATTATAAAATTTGTTATTTATTTTCAATTAATATTAAAAAAATTTATTTATTATTATTACTACTTATTTATTTTTATTTATATTTGTTTGTTCCAAAAAAATTATTAACTTATAAATTTATTAATTATTAATAAGAAGTTATTGAATTTAATAATTATTATTAATAAATTAATTTATAAATGTATTATTTATTATTAATAAATCGTGAATTTATAAATTATATTAATAATCAATTTTTTTTATTCAATTTTGAATAATTTATTTATAATAATTTGTTTATTTATTTGTCAGGTATTCGGATTTGCAAAATTTAAAAATGTCGTTTTCTACTAAAAGTATTAGAAAAATTTACTAATAGTATGAAAAAAGAAAAAAAAATTAAAAGGAATAAATTTAAAATTAGTATTAATTTTTATTAATTATTAATAAACTTATTGGGGGTAAATTACGAAGTAATTTGCGAAATAATAAAAAATATATAATAACAAAAATTAAGAAAGGAAAAATTTTTCTATTTTGTAAGTCTGTTTACATGTAAATAAATAATTATTATTAATAAATTTATGAATTTGTTATTAATTATTATTAATAAATTAAAAATAAATTATAAATTATTAATTTATTATAAATTTATTTTTATATTTATTTTTATAAATTATTAATAAGACAAAGAGACCTTTTTCTCTGAATTCGAGAAAAAATAATAAATTATTTAAATATTCATTTTAAAAAAAATAAAAATTGTAACATATTTTCTATCGCATCTTTTTTTTTGAGTCTCTCACTCACTCTCCCTCTTTTTCTATACGCAATGATAGTAGTAAAAAGCGCAGAAAAACGATAAAAGCTTTGCGAGACGTGTGTGAATATTGAAGTTCCTTTTTATTTCATCCCTCTTATATAGAATCAGCATATCTTCTCTGACACCATTTTTCTGCGAAAAATATAAGAACCGATAAATATTGAAAATATTCTTTCACATAGTGCGCAGGGTTTTTTTTCTTTCATTTATAATATATTTTCATTTCTCTAATACATAATAATATAAAAAAAAAACATTATTATGAAATCAGAATGTTTTCAACGATCATGAATAAAATTTATTGTAATAAAAAATTTTTTACCGCTCAAGAGCAAAATTTTTTTTTACTATTTTCTCACATCAATAATGTTTTACAATATGAAAAAAAATAGATTTATGTTGACTGTAATATATGAACAAAATATACATTTTTTAAATTTAGTTTTTACTACTTTTTCCATTTTTTTTGTAATTTTTTTATTTTTTTGCAAATTGATAAAAATGAGATCATTTATGAGATTATTTGTATAACAATAATATTTGAACAATAACAAATTTGACATATTTCGATAAACGGTGAATTTTTCCCTCCGCAACAAAGTCATAATTTTAATGTTATACGAAAAAAAAGAGAAGGGGACGTGAAAATCAATATTTGTGACATACACATTTTCAATTGTGTAAAATACACGCTTTTAGGAGAGAGAAAAAGAGAGAATGCGGGAGAAAATTATACGGCACGATGCCAACAGTTTGACATTTATAAATAAAAGAAAAAAAAGAAGAATTCTTATTCTTGTATCAAAAGGAACATGTGTGTAAAATCAATATATAAGACTTTAAGTAAACGACCAATTGATTCAATATAATAATTATTTATTTCAAAACGCGGGAAAATTTATTTTATCTTTTTTTTTGAACTAAATGAAGATTATAAAAATAATGAAATTCAAAAAATTTTAATTAATAAAAATTAAAAAATTTTAATTAATAAAAATTAAAAAATTTTAATTAATAAAAATTAAAAAATTTTAATTAATAAAAATTAAAAAATTCTAATTACTAAAAATTTCAAAATAATATTGGCTAAATATTAAAAATTTATACAGTATACATAAAATAATAATTATTTCTGCAATAAATTACAATTTTGTTTATATAACGGTTTATTTCAATAATTGAATCAATAACGATATCAGTTACATTTTCCTAAGCGAGAATTACGTCATAACCACGTGACTATTCATTTCCTGATGTCATAAAATTATATATCCCACACGGAATATTAATAAGGAAATATCAACTTTTTGGTATATTAATAATACTAACAATAATAATTTTAAAAAAAATAATAGTAGTAGTAAAAAATGAATGTGAAAATTATTTTATAATTGTTTATAAATAAGAAAAAAAAATTTTTTTTTTATCGAAATCGATAATTTTACTTAGCTTTATATACTTTATATAATAAAATTTATATAAAATGCATTGAGTTTATTAGAATAAAAAGAGAAATAAATCAATACTTTCCTGGAAGCTTTCCCAATCGGTGCAAGATAATCGACCCTTCTCCTCTCTCAAGTTAAGAATCTCGTTTGATGCATGAGCGTTGATTACGATCAAATATACGCTTTTCATCTTAATTTTCTTTTTTCAAATTTTTAACGTTCTAATGAATCAAGTTTTTTAAAAAATTTTTAAAACTTTATTAATTTTTAAAATCTAAAATAAATTTAAAAAATTATATAACATATTTTTATAAATTAAATTGTTATTATAATTATTATATAAATAATTATTAATAATTACAATTTTATAATAATAAATATGAATATTCTTTTTATTTAAAAATAATAAATATAGTATATAATTAATAAAATACATAATAATAATATATTAAAAAATTATGCATTAGGGAAAAAAAAAAATTTTGTATTTTGCAATATAATGAAAATTATATAAATACATTACTATCTTCGAATTATAATCTAGAGAAATATTTGCAGAAAAATATATATATAGGAATGTAATGAACGTTTTCAAACTTTTAAAGGAGATTTTGTTGAGCGTAAAAATACTGGAAAATAAAAGGGAGCTAATAAAAAATAAACTTTAAAAACTTCGTGCTTGGAGGAAGTAAAATTTAAATTTCAGTTTTTATTTCATTTGGTATTTTTTTTTATTTCGAAAAATCAAGAAAGATTTTCATTGTGTGAAATAAATAATTTTAATCCCTCACTATATTTAATATATTATAATATTAATAAATATTAATAAATATATTATAAATATTATTATTCATTTATTAATTATTATTATATTATTGTATTATAAATAATAATTAATTTTAATTATTTATTTATTTATTTATTTATTTATTTATTTACATGTAAACGGGCTTACAAAGAAAGAAAAATTAGCCCTTTCGTACCGAAGTACTAAGAATAATGAAACATAAAATATAATGTTTCTTAAAAACCGAATAACAAAAATAACTATAACTAGGTAGCGTTGTTATTACTATCAAAAAGAAAAAGTTTGCGCAAAGACATTGTGAAATTACTTAGCGAAGAGTTAAAAAAATCCAAATTGTTACAATATAAGTTTGCTTCTTCGGACAATCTATCATAAATAGAATTTTTGGCAAAGTTTGATCTATGAAAATTTGTTTTAAACAAAGGGCGATCTCTAAGGTGTTTAAATGGAGCATAAAAATTAATTTTTGACAGAATCTCAGGACAATCGATATAATTATTAAGAATTTTGTATAAAAATAGTAAATCAGTATATATAAAATATGATGAAATTTCAGGGATATTGAATAAGCGTCTGAGATCCGAGTAATCATGATTAAATCTATCGTGAATTACATATCTTTATATTATAACATTTATAATATACTAATAATTATTTATATATTATAATAATTTTTTTTTATTTCTATAAAAAAAATTAATTTACTTTAATAAATATTCGCGTACACATTGTTTGTCAATGTACAATGTTCTGTTTGTGAAATTTATTATTATAATAACAATCAAATATCCCCCAATGAATGAAAGAGTCGCGAGATTGTTATAAATTTTTATTTCTCGTAAATTATTTATTTTTTAATTTTGCCAGTGTGTTTTTGTTGTTATATTCTTTTGTTACTTCGGAATTTTGCAATTTTATTTTTCTTTAATCGCAATTTTAATAGTAATTTGTAAAAAAAAATATTTCTTTTTTACCAAAAATCTGGAAATATTTACTGTATAGAGTCAATTAATTTTTTTTTTTTTAATTATTTGTAAATTAACCTAAATTATTGTTATTATCGCTAATATTAATATTTATTAAATTAATATAGTAAATTAATATAGTAAATTAATTAATATGAATTTCAATTAAATTAATATTAATTTCAATTAGGTAATATAATAAATTATTAAATATTAATTTTTTTTGCAATTATTATTAATAATTTATTAAAATAATGAAACAAAAAATTAAAAAAAAATGATAAAATTATCATTCCTTGAAAATACGTCTTTTGCAGAAGTGTTTGAAGGATATCGACAAAACGATAATTCTCTCCCACACCCTTGTTATCGAAGCACTTCCATGGATTATGGTTGGTACGCACCGACTGTCCACACAGTACCAGCAAATTACTATCCTCGCAACAATTTCTTCAGTAACGAACTAAGTCGCGCAGGGATGTACCGTAATCGCTCCCTCAACACCGAACTGGACAAGACACTTTTCTAAATGTAAACGTAACTTTTTACCACATCATTAAATTATCAATTTTCATTATTTTTAATGCAAACAGAGAGTGAAGGAAAAAATAATAATAAAAAAAAACAAATTTCATTTTTTTTTGTCATTTTAATATGTACTTTTATATGTAATTATATTTTATTAATAATAAAAATGAAAACTTATAGAAGATAAAAATAGTGTCATTGTTGGTCTTATTTTAAGAGTCTAGAATATATATATATATATAACAAATTTTTTGCCTTTAAAGTAGTTATAAATTTTACTAATTAGATCGTAAAAGTTTCGTGGCCTGCCAAGGTAACGTTTACTACCATAGTAATGGCTGTCATAAAAACGGTTGCCATAGTAACTGTTGCCATAGTAACTGTTGCCATAGTAACAGTTGCTATAGTAACTCTTGCTATAGTAACTCTTGCTATAGTAACTCTTGACATAGTAACTAAAACTGCTGCCATAGTTGCCGTAGTAACGGTTGCCATAGTAACTGTTGTCATAGTAACGGTTGCCATAGTAACTCTTGCAATAGTAACTAACTATTGCCATAGTAACACTTTCCATAGTAACTAACTGTTACCATAATAACGGTTGCCGAAGTAACAATTCCCACAGTAACTATTGCCATAGTAACTGTTGTCATAGTAACGGTTGCCATAGTAACTCTTGCCATAGTAACTAACTATTACCATAGTAACTCTTTCCATAGTAAGTAACTGTTACCATAGTAACTATTGAAATAGTAACTAACTGCTGCCATAGTAACTGTTGTCATAGTAACGGTTGCCATAGTAACTAACTATTTCCATAGTAACTCTTTCCATAGTAACTAACTGTTACCATAGTAACTCTTGCCATAGTAACTAACTGTTACCATAGTAACTCTTGCCATAGTAACTAACTGTTACCATAGTAACTAACTGTTACCATAGTAACTAATTGTTACCATAGTAACTAACTGTTACCATAGTAACTAATTGTTACCATAGTAACTAACTGTTACCATAGTAACTAATTGTTACCATAGTAACTAACTGTTACCATAGTAACTCTTGTCATAGTAACTCCTGCCATAGTAACTAACTGTTACCATAGTAACTCCTGCCGTAGTAACTAACTGTTACCATAGTAACTCCTGCCATAGTAACTCTTGCCATAGTAACTAACTGTTACCATAGTAACTCTTGTCATAGTAACTGACTGTTACCATAGTAACTCCTGCCATAGTAACTATTGCCATAGTAACTAACTGTTACCATAGTAACTCCTGCCGTAGTAACTAACTGTTACCATAGTAACTCCTGCCATAGTAACTCTTGCCATAGTAACTAACTGTTACCATAATTACGGTTGCCGTAGTAACAATTGTCATAGTAACTGCTGCCATAGTAACTGTTGCCATAGTAACGGTTGCAATGGTAACTGTTACTAATTCATTTAATGACTGAATAGGCTCAGTTAAATTAGTAAAAATTGACTATAATTGAGATTTAGAAAAAAATCTTTTTTTTTTACTATCGAGTAGTAAAATTTAACTAATTAATAGTAAAAAAAAATTCTCACTATTGAATTAGTAAAATTTGACTAATTAATAGTAAAAAAAAATGTGTCACTATCGAATTAGTAAAATTAACTAATTAAAAAAAATTTTCCACTAATTCATATTTAGAGCGTGTGAGAGGATATATAGGAACATATCGCCCTTTAAAAAAAAAAGTGTCGAGTACTCGATAAACTGGACTGCTGGTGTACTTCCTCTACCAAAAAATTCAGTAGCTACCCGTTTGAAAAAACATAAAAAGTAAATATTGCACAAAAAGCATTGCAAATCATTATTATGTCGAGCTTTTGTGGAAAATGATTTTTTTTTTTTTTTTTTTAAACTAAACCGTTTTCAATAAAAACAAACATTTTTAGAATTAATGAAAAATATTTAAAATGAATGATTAATTTAGTAATCTTTAAAAAAAAAAAGATTACTAATTTAAAAAGAAATAAGGAATTTACTGATTTAAAAGTTTGTCTGACTAAAACAAACTTTTACTACTGAAATACGAAACTGACTTTCACTATACTGATACCAGAAAAATGGTATATTTGTCTCACAGCCTAATAAATATTTAATTCAAATACATTTTTATTTGATTCAAATATAAATTTTTATTGAATTCAAATAAATTTTTATTTGATTTAATTAAAAAATTTTATTTACGCCAAATAAATGAACTAGTAGCCTGTGAAACAAATATACGTTTATTTAATTCAAATATATTATATTTGGTTCAAATAAAACATTTCTCTGGGTGTATTAAAAAAAAATTATTATACTTTTGAAATTAAAAATTTTTTTCCAAGGTGAAAATTTTTTTTTAGTCACATCCCTGTTAAATACTGAGATTGAATTTTCGAAATTTATATATATATGTCGGTTTCATGGTGATGAAGGAAATTTCGTATGTACAGAATTTATGAAAAGGGATGAGGGAAGGGGGGGAGGGTGGGTTTGAAATGACTGTCACCAGTTATGTCATGTCACGAGTTTCTGTGCTTGCCCTAGAAAAGGGATGAATGGGAAGCAGTGATAATCCAACCCTGCGAGAATATATATATATAGGCTATGGAAAAGGATCCTCCTCATGCCCCAGGGGGTAACTTTGAAACGAGCGCCACACCGACCTACAGACTAAACAAGCTTGGGAGAAATAATAACTGCAATTGAACTTTTCACCCCCCACCCCACCCCTGGTAAATACTTTTGGGATTTTAGGAATTCTCTCTCTTGCTCCAAAATAAGGAACATTTTTTTTTTGTAATAATTTTTGTTTTATTATTTTTTCGTAAAATATAAAATAAATACAAAATAAACAATTATTACAAATGTAATTTTTATACCATGGAATTATTATTCTTATTTTAAGAATATTTTAATTTTTATTTTAAAAATATTTTTCTTATTTTAAAAATATTCTGATTTTAAAAATATTCTTATTTTTTAAAAATATTTTTCTTATTTTAAGAATATTCTGATTTTAAAAATATTCTTACTTCAAGAATGTTCTAATTTAAAAAATTGTTTTCTTATTTAATGAATATTTTGATTTTAAAATATTTCTATTTTTAGAATATTCTGATTTTAAAAATATTCTTAATTTGAGAATATTCAGATTTTAAAAATAATTTTATTTTATAAAATATTTTCTACACATATGATAATAGATTATTTATAATTTTTTTTTTTTATGAAAATACTATATGATTCTAACTATAACAATAAAATTCATGAATAAAATTCTTAAATAAGAATAATCGCAAGATTATATTCTTAAATTGAGAATAATGTTTTTTTCACTAAATTTCCTACTGAAATAAACCAAAAAAAAATTACTATAGCAATAAAATTCATAAAATAAAATTATAATTAAGATGGAAATAACCGCAATTTTATATTCTTAAATTGAGAATATTGTTTATTTCAGTGAATTTACCACTGAAATAAAAAAAAAAAAAATTCAAATAGTATTTGAAAAAAATATTAATAATAATCCTAATTTAATTAGAATTAATTATATTAATTAATAATTAATTTATTAGAATATAATAAATAATTGAATAAAAATATTTTTTTTTAATAAATTGAGAATTATTAAATTAAATAATTAAATAATTATTAAATTAAATGAAATATTAAATAATTTTGAATTAAAAATTTAAAAATTAGGGGATAATATCAATATAAATTTCGTTTATCAAAAAAAATTTCATTAATTCGATATATAAATTTATATATAATTAAGAAAGAGGGGGGGGGGCTTTTTAATGATCCGAACCTGACAAGGAAGTCTTACAACGTATATGTGAATATGGTAAATGTATGTGTGTTGAAACCTTCCTATTCTTCGGCGAGACATGACAGGTGTATTTTGCTTTCAGACAAATGTACACGACACTACACATTTTATTCTCTCTCTCTCTCTCTCTCTCTCCCTTTTTTTTTTTTTTTTTTTTTTTCTCTATATGTTCGCAACTCATAGAATACATAAATAAATAACCTGAAAAACTTATATTCTCAATTTAAGAATATATATTGTACATAAATATAAACACGCAATATTAGGTTATATTTTATACAGTCCATTATTATTAGCCAAGGGTGAAAAACAATTCTCATAAAATAAATAAATTTCAATTGCAAATTTTGTTTCATCAACTACATATATGTACAGTTTATTTTGTATTCTATTTTTTTTTATCGTGACGCATTTGGTTTTCTCTATAATAAATAATTGTTAAAAAATCATTATTCAACAAAAATAGAAAATTTATATTTTTTTCATTTTTTTTTTTATTTGGTTTCTAATTATCCCATAAAAATAATTAGAATTTTTATTTTAGAGAATTTTATTACATATATAATTATTTTTTAAACGTATTTTTATTTTTTAATTTTTTATGTATCGAATTTTTATTGTGCAGAATTTTTTAGAATGCCGAATTTTTTATTTGTCCGAAATTGCAAATGACCGAATGAACAGTCAACAGAAAGATTTTGGTGCAATTTTTTAAAATTCACCAATCACGATTTTCTTTAAAAATTTCTGATTCGTGAATTTTAAATATCGCGCCGAAATCTTTGTGCGTTTATTATTCGGCCATTTACAAATTTTGAACAAATAAAAAAAAGGCACTTTAAAAATTCTGTTAATTAAAAATTTTCGAAACATGATAATTTTGTTAAAAAAAAATTAATTTACAAAGAAATTCTATCAAATTTTAATTCAAGAAATGAAAATTCTAAAAAATAATTATAAATATAATAAAATTCTTTAAAATTAAATTTTTAATTAATAATTTTTTATGAGATTTCGTTACTAACCAAATTATTGTTATATTTGGTAATTATTTTTGGTTTCTCGTTAACAAGAAAAATAGGAAAATTAATTATTTTTTTTTATAAATATTTTTTCCATAAATTTAAAATTTAACGTACTCATAAAATTGTTTAAACTAAAATACGAAAATTGTTTGTTTTTTGTAGCAAAAAAAAAAATAAAAATTATTATTATTATTTGTATTATAGAAAAACATTTGATGTATAA